AAGACGGACCCAAGAGCGGTTAAGCAAGGATCAGTCGTGAGGACAGAGGAGGACCGAAATGTTTCTGATTGATGACGTCTTAATTATGTGACACAGAAGTAAAACGTTAAAAATAATCGCATTGTGAATAACGCTGAATTTTTCATAATGTCAAACAACATATAATCATTGATTCTTACAGCTCTCAACTTTATTGTAGTCTCATTAATTATCGCCGTTACATATATATACCTTCATATATGAAACAACACACACACACACATGCACACCCAGAGCAGTTCTGTACATTTCACATATGAAACTTGATAATTCGTAAAAAGTTACAAATCAGTTCTCATGTGTTATTTCATTTATAAAACAACATGTGTGAAAAGTGTAGTGTTTATACAGTATTGTTTTATACGTGAAACGTTCATGACTGCTTTTTTCACATACAAAGCAGTTCTGTACATTTCACATATGAAACACTATTGTATAAACACTTCATTTTCACATACGTTGTTTCATAATCGGAATACATGAAAATTGGTTTGTAAGTTTGTACAATTTATTGTTTTTGTAAATGATTACGCGTATGCATATAGAGTCGTATTCAAGAGGAAAAAAACCACAAAAAATAAAAAACTGAGCAACATCCTGATAACCATTGATTAATTTTATAATCCAATGATTGTTAAAAATAACAATGTATTAAACGAAAAGTATCAAAATGGTGCATTTTCATTAATGGATAATCGTTTCCATTTATTGAGATGCCTTAAAATAAAGGAAAGCCACCACAAATTACGAAAACTTCATTTATCCTCCAGAAAAACTACGTAACTTTTTTTTGTTAAAATAAATTCCACAACCAGTTGTGTTCTTCGTATTTTTGAAATTTGTTTATTTTTGCTCATCATTTTCAGTCTGGGCTAGATGCACATGTGAATGAGTCGTTGTATTCACCGTCTTTTAATTTTTGTGTTGCATGCACATGTGAATAAATCAACATATTCATCATACGGAAGTGCTATCGAATAAGCTGTTAGGGAGGATTATTTGAGTTAATACCGGCTAAGCAACCTTTAAAGCAGCTATCTGTTCGACCAGTTGGTCTCACAGTCAGACAGGCTTATACCATTACGCCTACTCCTTCTTCTCCTTTAGGATAGGGTCGTCGTTTTTTTATTGTTTTGCAATAAATAGCGAAAGCGAGACGACTTCTCAATTGAGAAAAGACTGGAATGAAATTTTCAACTTCTAGGTTGTATGGACATATTGGTTGTATGAACATGTGAATAAGTTATCGTATTCATCATCCTTCATTTGCTAGGTTAAATGCACATGTGATTGAATCACCGTATTCATTGTCTTTCAGTTTTTGGGTTGCATACATGTGTAAATGAGTCACCATATCCAACGTCCTTCAAATTTATTGGTTGAATGCACAAGTGAATGAGACATCATATTCAATGTCTTTCAGCTTTTGGGTTGCAAGCACATGTGAATGTGTCAACACATTTAACATTCTTCAATTCTTAGGCTATACACATATGTGAATTAGACGTCATATTCAATGCTTTTCAGCTTTTGGCCTACATGCACCCTGGGTCAGCTCCACCCTTCGGGCTGTGTTTTCCTGTGAAACAACAAAATTTTAGGAGTTAAATGTAAGTTTTCTAAGGTCTTTAAACGTGAAACCATAAGATTCTTCCATAGATATAACCATGAACTCTAAAACTTTTAAGGGGGTTTATATGAAAATTTAAGGAATAAAACTCCATGGTTCTTGGAAGTTGAGAATGGCGGTTGGAGATAAGGGGTTGTTTACCAAATACTTGCCCGGTAAATGCTTACCAGTAAAATTTAACACTATTATTTACTTACCAGGTAAGATTTTAGTCCCTCAAAACGACATCGTATGCAACAATTTACCAGGTAAGCGCTTACTGTGGTAAGAGTCGTCGCCCTCACTTACCGGGTAAGACTCTTGGTCCTTGTCTCGCTCTTACCGGGTAAGATTTTTGGTTCTTACCATATTCATCCGGTGAGGTAATGTTACTTGGTAAGCGTTTGGTAAATGACCCCTAAGTTACGGTTTTTACCCTTCAAATACTTTAATGTTTTTAATTTGCTTCATTCTTTTTTCATTCTTCATTTTTATCATATTAATTAATAACTAAAATACATTAAAAAGTACTTTTTTTCACAAACTGCACCATTAGAGAGATCCTATCGATCGATATCTTCAAAATGAACCTAATATTGAATATTTTTAATGTCAACACAAATAAAAAATCACACATTTTAACATTAGTACATTTGCCTCAATGTTTGTCGTTGATTATTCTTGAAATTTTTCTAATAAAATTTAGCATGAATAATAAAGTGAAACGTTTTAAAAAAGCATAACGTGAATTAGGGCTGTAAACGAACCGAACGTTCAGCGAACCGTTCGTGAACCGTTCGGCGGGAAGTTCGTTTATGTTCGTTTATTTAATAAATGAACGAACATGAACAAATTTTATTGTTCGTTTAGTTAAACGAACGAACATGAACAAGGGTCTCGTTAAACGAACGAACATGAACAAGGGTCTCGTTCGTTCATTTATGTTCGTGAACTTTCGTTCATTTACCGTTCGTTTACATTCGTTTACGTTCGTTTATATTCGTTCGTTTATATATTAAATTTAATATATAATCTTTTATTTATTTACTTTGAATTCAAATAATATTTATTTATGTTCATTTAATATGTTCGTTTATGTTCGTTCGTTTAGCATGTTAACGAACGAACATAAACGAACACGAACACACCTTATTTCTAAACGAACGAACACGAACACAAAGATTTTCGTTCATTTACCGTTCGTATTCGTTCGTTTGTTTGGTTAAGTTAAACGAACGAACATGAACATGCCTCCGTTCGTGTTCGTTCAGTTCATTTACAGCCCTAACGTGAATACAAATTTTTATTAACGTTTTTTTTGGTAAAGGTTAATTTGTTTATAGTGATATAACAGTGTTAACATAATAACATGCTAACTAACTTTTTAGGGTTATTTTGTGTATTTTTGATGCTCTTTGTAGATTTTACGGTTATATGTTTAACTAGAGTTAATTTGGATTAATTTTTAGACTTCAGGTTTTTTTTGTTAATTCAAAATCTCGAATTGGATCCTAAATTGACGGGTTAGTGTGAGCTAGGTTAGTTGATAGCTTTCCAATGTGACCTCTGATCAGAAAAGATGTCCTAACCATCCAACCGCTAATCCATCCCCGTTATCCATTGAGCCTAAAATTCCGGCTAGAAGCATACAAGTACTGTAATGAGCCTCTCCACTAATCCCGTAGGTTAATTTGCTATATTTAAGGTTGAGTTGTTTATATTTGAGGTTAAGATTTCTGTCTCAAACCGATTCATGTAGATTATCAAGTGGAAAACTGGAAAAACACCAATTATCGTATAATTATTTTTTAAAAATTATATTACAAAAATTATTTTGTGATACCACTGTCAGAAAAAAATACTAGATCCGCTATTATCATGCACATGTGAATAATTCATCATATTCACGTGGTATAAAACCCAAAAATACATAGTAGAAAAGATGAATGTTTGCATATTGTTACTCATTCACATGTGCATAATCTTCAAGGACCACCAAGGTTTTTGACCAGTATTAATAAAGAAACTAAAGGGGATTTAAAATCATATATAACTAGAAATGATTCAATAACAATTAACTCAAGTAATCTTCTCCATTTAGATACTACTCATACTTCATCACCATTGAAGATCGGGTAAAGTTGGAGGATTGAACAACTGAACGAGTTCTAGAGGAAAGGAAGGAAAAAACTGTTTCCATGAAGGTTAGAGATATATAAATATATATATATATATATATATATAGAGAGAGAGAGAGAGGACGTTTCAAATACAAAACATTTCATTTGTACAACCAATACAAACCAGTCAATTGAGATATTTATGAAAATAATGAGAGTTTATTTATTATGATTTAAATATTTATGAAAAATGACTATGGTTAATTAATTATGATCAATACTTTATATTAGAATACAATTAAAACTTTTATAAAATCACATATTCATCAAATTAAATGGACGGTTGAGATTGAGTTGTACTTGTTGTACAAATGTAAAGAATTGTATAATAATTCACCTCTCTCTCTCTGTATATATATATATATATATATATAGAGAGAGAGAGAGAGAGAGAGTGTGTGTGATTACCAAGAGAGAGAGAAAGAGAGAGATTATCCTAATTTTAGGTATTTAAATTGAAGAAAAAGTTACTAATACTTTTATTTAGGTTATTCTCTCTAATAAATGTTAACATTTATAAAATCCCTCCTTTTTAAATTATTTACAAATACACCCCTTGATTTTTTTTTATCCAAAAGATAAAAAATGTTTTTATTTTTTGTGGTCACGAAGGTTCAAATGCGATGACTCCGCACTATCTACAGAGCAGGTAGTCGTCTATAACGAATTGGATATCTAAGTTAATAAAAAAAATTATTTTTTACTTTGTTTTTCCTTAAACCTCACATGCACACAGTCCCTAATAATTCCCAAGATGTGGTTGTAATTTGCTTGTGCTTTTTTTTCTGTTAAAACCATTAAATGCATTTAATTAGAAAAACCATCAAATTTCAAAGGTACTTTTTTAACATTTGAAAGTTCCATTTGGTGAAGCTACAAAGGTCAACCCTCTATGCCCCCTATCATATTTGTTTCCTTCTTTGCACGTCTCTCTCTCTCTCTCTCTCTCTCTCTCTCTCTCTATATATATATATATATATATATTTCTTTCTCTCTCTCTCTCTCTCTCTCTCTCTCTCTATATATATATATATATATATATTTCTTTATTCTTCTGTTGCAACTCCTTCAATTAACTTCCCCAACTCACTTGCCCCCACCAAGATTCTACAAATGGCTACCATTTTTCCTTATATTATTGTATTATCTTTCACTTCTATATAACCAACCTTCATTCATATTCTTCTCTTTATCTCTCTCTCTCTCTTTCTTGATGGACTCAGATCATTCATCATATTCATCCATGAACAAATCTATGGCTGAATCAGAGACAGCAACAGCTGAAGAGAGTGGTTGGACTTCTTATTTTGAAGATTTTATGGCTGCCCAACAAAAAGATCATCATCAGAATCATTCATTCACTGATCATTATCATCATCATCAGAATCATTCATTCACTGATCATTATCATCATCATCATCATCATCACCACCACCACCAGCAGCAGCATCTTGATGATCAACCAGTGGTGTCTGATGCTGTTTCTCATGTCGAATGGAACTATATCGATCAATCGATGAGTGGCGCAGCCCCCAAATTCCCCAAGAAATTGAATCTTTTCAAGAAAACTAGTAGAAGAACAAGAGAGATTCTTTATGATGATTCTTTAGAAGATACTGCTAGTTCTCCTGTCAACAGCCCTAAGGTCTGCACCATAACATGATTATACATACATATATATATATATATGTATATACTTCTTTTACAACTTAATTCAGTAATTGAGTGATATTTTCTATGATCTATGGATAGGTTGGGAGTCAACAGATGGGGTTTAATCAGATAAAAGTAGATGATATTATACAGAATTCTTTGGTAACTTTCTACCAACTGTTAGGACTTCTTTTTTCTGCGAAAAACAATCGTTTCTGAATCAGATTTGGAGTTAAATCATTGTAGGAAAAAGGAGGTGGCTTTGATGGTCATTTACAGCTACAAAAGAGGGAAGATCAAAGCAGGGAAATGGTGTTTGATCAAGACAACAACAATGGAAACACAGACTTGAGGAAGAGAGGATTATGCTTGGTTCCTTTGTCCATGTTGGCAAACTATATCTGAAAATCTCTCTCTCTCTCTCTATATATATATATATATACACCCCCATGCAGAAGAGTTGATGGTAGAAACTGTATAGAGTTCTTAAATAACTTCAAGAAGAATGAAGCAGTCCAACTTGAGACATTGCAGATATCTGTAAAGCCCAGTTGACTATAATCTAATCATTTAGCTACCGATCTCCTTCTGTATCTTGTAAATTTATGATGATTGTAATGATTTTTGTTTATTACAATGACGCGACGGTTCATACCCTCGATCGAATTCTTGATTGAATCTTGTTTCATTTTTCTTCATATTATCACAATCTTGATTACCATTTCAACTGGGATTTCAAAGGGTAGATAAGAACAAGTATATTATATATATATATATATAGAGGAGCGATCAAATGAAAACCACTCCAATTTGTAAAAACCGTAAAAACTACTTTCATCCGTAACCAATTCATGGGGCGGTTGGAGTATCACGGGGGGGACTATAACGAATCCGGGATTTCATTGTTTAATCTTATGAAATTTTTTCATAAATCGTTTAATCTTGTGAAATTGTTTCATGTAATACTTTTTTTGATGAAGTTGTTTCATATATGGTTATGAAATTGTTTCATATACTACTTAATGAAATTTTAATGAAACTGTTTTATTTATTTCTTTAAAATTAAAATAATGAAGATGATAATATTCATGATTAACATTCTCCACAATAAAAATGATTAATTAACCTCTCATAATTACAAAAAAAGTAAACAAAATGAAAAATTATGATTGGTAGAATAAGGTTTTTACGGTTTTTACAAATTAAGTGGTTTTCATTTGATCTTATATATGTATATATATTTTTTTACCAAGTTCAAGGTATATGTTGAAGTGTCGTGTCGACCTTTATTAGCTTCAATTCAAGAAAGGCCAATAATTGTCAATTAAGTTTACAAACTTTATAGAAAAAAACAAACAATTTGAGAAGGAAATTGAACTTTGCTTTTGAGAAATAATTTGGGAATCAATTGTTTGTCGTTTTAATTAATGTTTATAGTAGTTATAAGTTGGTCGATGCAACCACAAGGGTGGTGTCTGATTGGTTTGAGTTTGGCTTCAAAGGTCAAAAGTACCCGAACATCGCAGGTTCAAATCCAAGGAGGAATAAAAATCCTTTTGTGGCCACAGACGTTCAAATGCGATAACTCCGGGCTATCTGCAAAGCATATGATCGCCCTGGGATTAGTCAGCTCACATAGCGGGTTGGATATCCAGGTTAATAAAAATAAAAATAAAAATTGGTCGATGCACACATCATGATATTGCCATATCTCCATCTTTATAAGTAAGGCTCTGTCACCATTAATTAACTCGTGGTTAATTCACTCAAAGAACCATAATTTAAACAGAAGATGCACAGTGCTAATTAATTCCTAATCCCTTCCAAATTAACTGCATATATACACCAACGTTTTTCTCTCTTTTAGTGTGTATTTGTGTGTGCATATATATATATATATATATATATATATATATATATATGTGTGTGTGTGTGTGTGTGTGTGAAGGAGACCAACAGACTGAAAAGAACGAACAAGAATGCGAGTGAAAAACCTGGAACAATTTGTTCTCTTTTTCCATCTGTCTCCTTGACTACAATGGATTATAAAAGAAGGCCACCAGAAAAAGAAAAGAAAAGAATATATATATATATATGTATATATATATATATATGTATATATATATATATGTATATATATATATATATGTAGAGGGATGTTATTCTACACCCTTTGTCATTCTTACACCCTATACAACCTTCATCTCAACCATTCAATTTTTAATCAATTAATTGTTTTCTAATATAAAATATTAATCATAATTAATAAACTCTATTCATATTCCATAAATATTHAAATHATMATAAATGAACTCCAATCATTTCTATAAATATCTCAATTAATTGGGTTGCAAAGGTTGTACAAATGCACAAGGTTGTAAAAGAAATATACCCTATATATGTATATGTATATGTATATATATATATATATATATATATATATATATATATAGCATAAAACAGGCAAGGATCTTGGCATGGAGTTCCTGGTTGCATGATTCTGAAACCCTAAATCAATCATATTACACACCCCTAGTAGAACACTTAATTTAGCGATAATTTATGTTATGATACCAACCCCTACTCATACAAAATCGGGGTTTTATAGGATGTCTAGATTGTATTTTATAAAACTTAGGTTTATAGGATAAAACTAAAAAGCTTCGTATCTAAAAGTGTTACAATGGTTTATAGGACGTTTAGGCGTTTTAACAGTTTCTTTTTTGGACACTCTCAAAATAAAGTGTCATACTAACTATTTTATAAGATTATATGACGCTTTTTGGTTTGGTCTTGTGAACCCATTTCATATAAAATAATCTATTGGGACAGTTGTACAATTTTGGAGGGGGGTTGATATCCCCACCCCCTTACATCACTTTTCACCCCCTCCTCCTCACACCAACCCTCACTCACACCCTCACAACTTTTCCTCACTCTCACCCTCACATACTCACCCCCTACACAATCACATCCCCCTCACATGCATCTATAGGAGGGGGTGGAGTTAGAAAAACCCTTTTGGAGTCTTATAAACTCAATTTTTATTAATTTATTTAAGTGAGACGTGGCCTTCTAATAAGGAGTCATGAATATTTTTCCTTTATTTGTGGCTTGGGTTGCGTTTGGTACATGAGACAGGACAAGATGGGACAAAACTTACCGTCCCATGTTTGGCACGACATGGATAAAACAAAAAAATCATTGTCCCACATTTAGTGCAACATGGAATATGGAGAAGAACTGGGACAAAAAGGTGGAAAAAGATGGGACAAGAATTAGATAGAAACTAAAATATTACTAATCTACCCATGTCAGATATATAACGTGTTTGTTTTAGTGGTCGTAACAGGTAGACGCGGCGGCCACCGGTAGCCACCGTCGACCACCTCCACCTCTTCTTCCACCACAACAACCTCCTCCACTACCTACACAACTACCATCGACCATCAATCACCATCATCTGTCACCACCACCACTACCACCGTTGGCCACCTCCACCTCATCCTCCACTATAACAACCTCTTCCATAGCCATCGTCGATCACTAACCACCATCATCCAACGCCACGACCACTACCACTTGGGGCCACCATTACCACCACCACCGGCTACCACGACCATTGCCACCACCACCACTACCTCTACTACATCGGCCACAACTATTGTAGGCCACCACCGCCCATCGATCGGCCCACCATTAGTACCGTCGGCCATTACCACCTCTACCATAACCACCGGTACCACCATCGGCTACCACTACCACTGCATACCACCACCACTACCTCCACCACATCAGTTACAACTACCTCCTCTGTCACTGTCGACCACCACCACCACTACTATCTACCATCTTCACGTCCTTCACAACCACCAACGACCATCGACCACCACCGCTCATCGCAATCACTACCTCCACCACATCGGCCACTACTACCTCCTCCTCCACTGTCGACAACCGCCACCACTACTATCGACCATCTTCACGTCCTCTACAACCACCATCGTCCACCAATCACCAATGATAGAGTTTTTTTGAACCATCATTAATTATATCAAATTTTTTATTCAAATTTGATATTTTTATATATGTATGCATCTATGTATATGAAAATTATGTGAAAAATGTTTATAAATTAAATTACTTAATCATTTACTTTGTATTTTTGATTGGTACCGCAGTGGCCCTTTGGTTGGGTATTGGTGCAACATTACTTCACATTGTTCGAGGAACCATAGATGATGCCAGAGGAAAGGATTTTTTTTAATACCTTCCTCTTGTTAATTATAATTATTATATGATATATAAAATCATCAAATTACTTTTGGGGGCAACTTGTCTCGTTCTGTTATGTCATGTCCAATCTTACTCGTATCAAACACTAGATAGACACTTGTTGTGTTTAGTCATGTCCCGTGTAGTCATATCCAGTCATATCCTCCTGTTCTGTCTAAAACTGTCATGTCCAATTTTGTCCAATCATATATGTGTATCAAACGTTGCCATAAGCATAGTGTGCTTCTGTTTTATTATGGGAAATCAAGCAGAAAACTGTTCCAAGCTTCTTCTCTCAAGCTTCGGCTTTTCTTAGAGATTGACCATCTCGAAGCGGTATCTATCACATTATTTGTCTAAGTACCACAATTTCAATTTAAAAAACTGATATATTTCAAACAAATGGAACAGGGAGAAGAACTGGGACAAGTGGAACAATGTGAGACAAAAAAAAAGGTGGAACAAGATGAGACAAGAATTAAACATAAACTAAAATATTATTAATCTACTCTCGTCAAATATATGACCTTAATCACCAATGATCGGGTTTTTTCGAACCATCATCAATTATATCAAAATTTTCATTCAAATTTGGTACTATTTTATATATATATATATATATATATATATATGTATATGTATCTATGTACATGAAAGTTATGTAAAAATGTTTATAAATTAAATTATTTAGTCATTTACTTTATTTGTGTTAATTATAACTATTATATGATATATAAAATCATCAAATTACTTTTTGATACAACTTGTCTAATTCGGTCATTTCTGTCCAGTCCTACTCGTATCAAACACCAAACAGACACTTGTTGTGTCTAGTCATGTCTAGTCCTACCCTCTACTTATGTCTAGTTCTATCATGTTCAATCATGTATGTGTATCAAACACTTATTGTACTTTTGTTTTATTATGGGAAATCAAGCGGGAAAACTGTTCCAAACTTCTTCTCTCAAGCTTCGGCTTTTCTTAAAGATTGACTATCTCGAATCGGTATCTATAGCATGACATGTTTAGTTGCCATAGTTTCAATTGAAAAAAACGACTTATATTTCAAACAATTATAAAATAAATGAAACAAGCTAGCAACAAGTCCAAAAACGAAATGTCGAATATATACAGTAAACTTATTAAGTTTATAATACATTACACTAAATAACTTTATATATATATATATATATATATATGACAGGTTCAAACAAGAACGTTAACTATTTAAAAAACAAGAAAAAAGTCATAAATATACAAATCATATATATTCACGTACAAAATCATACATGATTCACA